GTTGAAAGAATTGAGGTGGTCAGGAGAGAAAGTATTTTCTGAGTGCTTAGTGAGCCATGTCTTCCAGGGAATGGTCCTGAATGCCTAAAAACAAGAAAGCCTCTGGCCCCATTGTATTGGTGACTTGCCTGTTACTTAAGTTTACTTTGGTTCATGGTGCTAGAGGATCCAGTACACAGTCAGCAGGCTTCAAGGCAGAAATGGCACCATGGAAGGAAGGGCACGCATGGCAGAAGAAAGCTATTTAATCTATGGTAGCCAAGAAGCAGAGAGAAGACATGCAGAACAAGAATTCACTCTTCCAGGCCACACCCTCAGGAACCTCTCTCTTTTTGAGGCTCCAGTGTCCAGTGTCTATTACAACAAGCAGCCATGAGCTCACGAAAACAATCTACTATATAAAGCCTCCAAGATTAGCCACCTCTAAAAGCCCAATCTCTGAACACATGAGACTTCTGGGGTCATTTTACAACTAAACCATACTATTCATTAACTCAGAATTCTGACTATTTAGTCTCAGTTGAACTTTATGCTTGCGTTACTGGCAAACAGCACCATGACAATCTCTCTGAAATGCCAGTACTTCTGTGTTTACATCTTAGCTGGAGAAGGGCGGTCATTTTACATGCTCAGACAATAATTACCATGTCAGGTGCTTTTATTCTGTGTATTAGTTCTAGATATTTTAAAGTAAACGTTTTAAAAAATTCCTATTTACAAATACCATGTTAGCACTTTTGGAAAACGGAGTAGGAACTTTTCCCTCTTTTGGTCTACATGACTTTTAAGTGAATTTTAAAGTGTACATTTAGCCTGGCTTAGTATAATTGTAATCCCAGCACTTGGGAAGATCCCACATTCCTGGCTAGCTTAGGGTACATAAAAGTGTGTAAGATCAGTCTGAACTAAATGGCAAAAGCCTATTTCAAAATACCAAAGAGCTCCAGGAAGACAGCTTGGCAGTCTAAGGTCTTGCCTGACAAGCGCAAGGACCTGGGTTCAATCTCCAGTACTGTGCAGATGCGGGTGTGGCGCATGCCTATAATCCCAGCAGCGGGGAGGCTGACAGATCACTATAAATGCAAGGTGCGTAGTGAGACTCTACCAAAGACATCAGCTGATTAAAGCACCTAAGCACCCGGTTAGGCAGATGCAGACTTGGTTCCATCCCTCTCCCACAGTCCCTCGCAGGTCATGCCAGCCCAGGCCCTGGGGCGCACTGAGATGGAGACTGAGACTGGGCATGGAGGCACCTACCTGTAATCCCAGCACTTGGGAGGATGAAAACAGGAGGATCACTATGAGTCCGATCTGTATAGTGAGACCCTGTACTAAATACATTTAAAGAAAAAAAAAAAAAAAAAAGCAGAATACCAAAGAGGGGTGTATTTTTTTCAGTAGGGAGTCTGATCTTTAATATGTAATTTAAGATGCACAATTCAGATTTGTCCAAGTTATGGTTGGCTTGAAGTCACATTTTATTTTCTTGCAAAAACCGTGACTCTAGCAAGATAGAGCTTTTTTATTCTAGCAAATTCATCATTAACTAACCATCTATGTAGATGTTTAACTTTTTTGAACTTAAAAATTAAGCATGAAATTTTAAAGAAATAATGTATTTAAAAATATTGATCTGAGAAGCAAAATAGTCCTTACAGAAAATCTGAGAAACATTACAAAAGAAAATCAAAATAAATTTTGAGAAGTATTATTGTGAGATGTGTTCCTTTTTACTTCATTTTTGAGACTGCATTTACTTTAGTATGCTAGTTTTTAATTTATAAGCACTTAACAATACTCATATTTTTGCATAAAATACTTCTCTATGGTAATTACATATTTCAGTCTATTACATATCTATACTATTTTATTGCTATTTCATATTTTTAAAAAAGCTATGAAGAGTACTGTATTGAACAACTTTTCAATGGACTGATTCTTCAGCTTCAGTGGATACAAGCATGTCCAAATCAACTTGATTTTGAAAATCAGTTTCACCTAATCAAATAGATTTTTATTTTCTTTGGTGTTTGGAAAAGGAATGAGCTATTCTACTGTTAATGTCATGAAAGTAAACTACTTAAAGAATGCCACACTTTTGTATTTTTTGGCCTCAGGAATGACATGCTTTAACCTTGTTTGACTTGTTACAGTTGCCAAAATAACTCCATTCAGAATTGAGTGAAGTACTGTACAAAATGATGTTTTCATTTAAAAAATTAAAACTTTACCTTTTTATGTGTGTGTGAAAATAGGGAATAACAGATCATTTGGAAATGTGAAGGCAAATTCTGTCTTGTTTCATGATTTATATACACTTTGAAGAAAAAAAGACAAAGGCAAAATATTTGTTATTAATGTAAATAAACAGCACAAACTATGATTATTCAAGCATACATGACAAACTAGGATTAGATTAAGAGAATCAAAGATCACATGTTTTATAGACAACTTGGTTGACTGGTTTGCCTGACAAGAATGTTTCGAATTTTTGTCACTGAAAATATCTTAATACAGTAACATGTATTGAGTGCTATTAGGAGTAACAGATTTTGGTCAAGTGTATGTTCCAAATAAATCAAGTTCTGCCTTTAAATGCCAGCAGTTTGAAAACAGTTTCAAATATAGTAATACTAACTCCCCTGTCCTGTTAAGCAAATTACACAGAACACAATGTACCTTTATTGATGATCCATGGTCATTTTTAAGCCACAATTACTGCTCAAAGTTAGTCATCAGTGACTGAGTGTTACAACAGTATAGTCTTTTTAAGAAATATGTTATCTTCAATACCAAGTTGCCTGTTAATGATTGTAATTGTAAACATGCTTTTTTTTTCTTTTAAGTTTCGTCTTTTTTTATCTGTTAATCTGTTTGTGAATGTTCACTAGAATCCTATTCAAAATAAAGCAGCCATTAAATGAGCACTCAAGGTACTGCTCCATGAGTAATGAAATCTACTGAGATTTTTTAAGCCTAATAATGTTGATGAAATCTAACAGAAATAAGAATCCTGACTCACACTTTATTTCTATAATCTTTTTTTTTTCATTTAATCACACCTCTCCACAAATCATCCAATGACCCTTTAAAAATGTAAATGTAATCATCTTACTCCTTTGCTTACTGTCTAATGGTTCCTTATATCTGGAATCAATCTTTATCTCCACTTCCCCATAGTCCTTTAACTCACTCACTCATTTTTCATCTTTCTTTTATTCATGGTGATTTCCTCCTTTCTCTGAATAGGTAATAGGACTCTTCTCTCAAATGTTGGGCACCTGCCATTTCCTTATCTTGGTATTTCTCTCTGCTTGGCTTTCTCCCCATTTCCTTCAAGACTCTTGAAATTTACTTCCTCGGAGGCTTTTCATGAACATTCAATTCAATATGGCATCCCTTATGGCTGTTTCCGTGGTCTTTTTTATTTTCTTCAAAGTACTTCTAAAATCTGCAATTATCTTAGACATGTGTTCACTGTCTACTACCTTTCCATGAATGTAAACTCCATGAGACCAAGGTTTTGCTTTATTCATGAGTACAATACAGAAGAATGTAGAGGCTCAACAAAATAATTTTTTAAATAATGATGTATTTAATTTCTTTTATAAATGAAAGAGGTAAACATTATGAAATGTCGATTTTACAGGTGAAGACATGGAATCGTAAGGAAGATAATGTTTACTTATCATTGAAAGCTGGGGAGTTATGAGCCAGGAAGTAAGACAGGCCTCATGTTAGCTCTGACTGATACTTCAGTTAAGTCAGATATGCTCACTGAAGCCCACTGGATATTTTAGATACACAACAGAGAATGTGTATGGAGAATAAATTACATGGAATAGATGAACGAAAAGTATAAAAATACTTATTTTTCAAAGGTAAGACATAAATAACTGACAGGTTCTTGAAGCTAAAATAGAAACCCATTATTATTACTGGGCTCAGTCTGACCCAGCATTCCTAAACCTTGAGCCGTGAGTATTCTGGCAGTGTCCAGGAAGGCAGAGACTGAACAGAGCCTTTGGGACTTTCACTTTCACTTGGCCAGAAATTATGAATATCTGCAGTGAGGCAGAGGACCTGCAATGAGCACTGGGATGTTAAATTAGTCGCAAATCCATCGATTACCTGCCATCAGCTTTTGGTATGTTAACTATCTTATAAGAAAAAAGGAACAACAACACACATTATCTAGAACTAAAAAATAGAAGACAGCATTAGATATTATAATACTAAGGTATGCTACGCAGATTCACCTCCAAGGAGGGATTTGTTTCTAGCTGTGAAACATGTGCAGAAAAGGAGTGATGCTATATATATATATATATATATATATATATATATATATATATAGAGAGAGAGAGAGAGAGAGAGAGAGAGAGAGAGAGACTCATTTCATAAAAACAGTAATCTACTGTCTGAGAACAGAAGCTCTGAATCAAAGACTGGAGGAAGAGACACACTACAGAGTGCTCTCCTTGTCTATTGATCCCCTTGGTCCTCAGATTTCATTTCTAAGCTGCCTCAGCAACTTTTATTTTCTGAAATAAGCAGTCAACTGGGAAGGAGAGGGACAGCTAGGAATTGAACCACCTGAAAACTGGCTTCAAAGTACAACTTAAAATTACAAGAGGCACCAAATCTTAAGGTTAGAAAATATTGTCAGATTATGATATTATGCCATGTCATCTCTGAAAATAAAGCATGGTCCTAAATACTTTATTTTAAAAGTTCAAACTCTATAAAGTAGCAAAATGAAGGAACATTCTTAATAATCACCTGACAAAAAACCTCTCCATCATTAACATTGAAAATCAAATCCAGTAAATTTTAAAATAATGAATATTAGCACAATATGTTCAGAACCCTCTTTACAAGTGACTAGAATTCAGTTGTGCCTAGAAAGGGACTGAAGACAGTGGCTGAGAAGCGCAAACCTTATAAAAGACATCTAAATAAATGATTAATATTGAGGTGTGAAAACACATTTTTTTTTCGCAGAGGAAACAGTTTTAGTTTCTAAGGAGCATTCACTTCTGACATCTCAATTCCTGACTTCAGTGGCTGCACACTGTGCACCTCTTTGCCACATTTAGGACAAGTAAAGTACATGTCAAACAAGAAACTGCTCTTCACACAATAATAGCAGAAAATGTGCTCACAGCCTATGATGTGAGGCATGGTGGGCCACTCTCCACACAGAGAACATTCTTTGCCACTGCTCAGTGATGTAGTGTCACTACTTGGGGCACCAGTAAGGGGGATACACCATGAGGATAATTTGGCTTTCAACTTCTGGATGTTGATAAGTGGCAAGAGAAAAATCAGAAACTCAGCAAAACCATGCCAGAGGAGTTCCCTATTCATATACTCAAAGCCAACTTCACGCATGTTTTGGGGTTTGCAAAAAACAGAATGAATGCCTAGGAAACGCTCCGTTAAAGTGGCAAATTTTCCCCTTTGAAGGAAAATCAAAAAATTAACTAACTCACCTAACTTCAAAAGTCCAAACACAAGATTCACACACTGCTTGACTTTCCCAAACGATGCTAAATGATGATTTCGAAACAAGTCATAACATCGCTCTTCTAGCCACCTCCCACCAATGGTACATGCAGCATACCAGAGTTTCTGATTTTTACTTGGTGGAAAGTAATGTGTATTTGAGGAAAGATCCTTTTTGTACTGAATATTCAAAACTGATTGTCCCACAGTGGCATTTTTGGAGTAGATGGTGAATCGCCACAAGAAAAGCCACAAGAATGCTTTCACTTCTGGCTCAAAGCGAGCTAACAGCCCTGGTTTAAATCCATGGAAGCATTGAGAAAACTGGGACCAAACTAGCTGCTCCAGTGCCTTGTTTAGTTCCAGTGCATCCAGCTGACTTATTCTTAGCACTCTATTTGTACTCTTTGTATCATCTTCTCTGGAAGTCATGTCTTCTTCAAAGGTATCTAGGAAAAAAACGAGGGAATATCAAACAGTTGCATTCTTACACTATCTCTCCCACTTACGTATGGAACACAACAATTTACAAATTGCACAGGACATGCAGAAGACAGGACTTCAGTAACTGTAAAAGCAGTATAGTAAATAATCACTTCTACTTGGAACTTCTTTCTTTTTACTTTTCCTCTCTTCCCCCTTTTCTATTTTTTTTTAACCTATACCCATTAAAGGAATAACAGCCAAAAAATAATGAAAGAAAAAAATGTACTCTATTTCCACAAACATTCTTCCATTAAAACTTTGATCAGACATCTCATTTTTGATTTTTGGGTACTGGGACTTGAACACAGACCTGTGTGTGTGCTAGGCAGAACTCTACAACTGAGCTATAACTATAACTTCAGCTGTTGGGTCAGATATTTTAGTACAATACATTAAAATCCTGAACTTATTATCATGGATGAGTTTAATCATAATAACGTTACTAATGGAGAAACATGATTGTAATAAATACAACAAACTACATAGAACATGGCAATGGGTACTTAAGACCTCAATTTAATTTCTAGTACTTATATTCACTCCAAAAGTATATTTTTCACCCAGTCACTTAATCTATGTTTTATACTTCTAAAGGGTCAGAAAAAGAAAAAAAAAAAACAAAAAACAATATATGTCTATTATCCTATCACACTAACACAGAAACTGACTACTACTGAACCTTAGCGCAATAGTTAATAATGTAGAGAGTATCAGTGGCTTAGTCATTTCCTCCATCACAGGGACAAAATACCCAACCCCTGCAACTTAAGAGCAGGAGGTCGATTTTGATTCACTTTAGTAGGTCTCAGTCCTTTCATGGAGACAGTATGGTGGAAGGGAGTGGCCAGAGGAAAGCTGCTCACCTTGTAGCCTCCAGGAAGCAGAGATAGCAAGGGAGGAGATGCAAGGAGACATGCCCTTTCAGATCGGGTCAATAGTGCTCTGCCTCTTCTACCCAGACCCCCACCTCCTACCAGGAAGCCAGCTATAATGCCTCCATTATCCAATCACCTTCCACATGTATGAGCCTTTGGGGGCTATTTTAGATGCAAGCAATGACAATTGTAGTAAGGAGATAAAAATGTACACATCAGGCAATACTTCAGCAAAGAAAACTATGACACAAAGATATACACAATGATTTCATAAATATATCAAGGTAACAAGTACTAAATAAAAAAAAATAATGAAACAAAAGTTGATTAGTGGTTACTCAAAATACATTCTGAGGGGGTCTGCCCCTTAGCTCAGTTCTTTAAGTGGCTGCTTCAACAAAACAGTCAGGCTCAGGTTGCTGTGGTTCAATCCCCACAACTCAAGGCAGCCAAACCTGCCTGAAGGCATTTGGAGGAAAAAAAAAAAAAAAAAAAAAAAACATTCCGTGCTACCCAATGCAATTAAAACAATGTGTTTTAATTGCACACATAGACTAATTTTTTTTTGAATGAGGAATCAAAATCAGGACCTTGTGACTGCCAGGCAAGTGCTTATGCAGCTGAGCTATATCCCCAGGCCTATAGACTAAGTTAGAAATTTTAAATTTTACTAATAAACTAGCAAGTCAGAACTATGACCAAAAAGCATACTTAAGTTTCAAAAATGAATCCTTTGTGTGATCTTGCTTATATATGTAGAATCTAAACATATGTAAATTATAGAAGACTAAAATACTGGTTGCGGAGGTTTAGGAAAAATGGGGAGATGCTGAATTGAGAGGTTGTTATAATATGAAAAATTCTGTATTTGACACAATAATTAATGGTGGATAGCAATGCTTGTGTAAATTAATTTGATTATGGCAGCTATTTCATAATGTATATATATATATATATATACATATATAAGATCATATTGTTCACTCAATATCTACAATTTTTAGTCAATTATAGCTCTATATAACTGGGGAAAAATAAAAAGATGTTGAATGTTATTTTTTTTTTAGAAATCAAACCATATACAACATTGTAGCAGGACACTCCTATGACATTTTTATCTTATCTCTTATTTTACTAGCTTTTCTTTTTTTACAAAAATTTATGTTAAAGAGAGTATAGCAATTATTGATACATTAGAAGTGGTAAGCATACAGAAGACCAAAATGACAGATATTTCAAGTATGATTTTAGTATTACACACTGCTATCCTCATTGTACTTTGTGAATAGTTATTTGTTATATGGTAAAAGGACTGAAAAATACACTGTACATGCTAAAATAAAGTTGGTATGTTATTAACTTTGTAGTATGCTGGATAGCACAGCTTTTTAAAACATAAGTTTCAATAATACCTCCATGGATGTATGATAGTTAACTACGGCGTCAACTTGAACAAGAAAAGCCTAGATTGGTTTGGCACAGTTCTGAGTATGTCTGGACGACTGACTTACTGAAGAGGGAAGGGGTTTAAGTGACATCAACCAATGGGCTTGAGCCTGGATGGAATAAAATGGGAAAGGAGAAAGCCTTTCTTTTGCTTCTTGGAGGAGATCCACTCTTCGCTATTACCTGTGGACATCCATCTCCAGGCTTCCAGTACAGACTGTTCAATTTCCAGATATGAACTCACATGGGGCTCTGCAATGGACTCCAGGCCTTCAGTTTTTGACTGGATCCTTTAGAATGCCAGCATACAGAGCCCTTTTGTGTTTTTCCATACTTGACTCTGAAAGCCTACCCTATAAATCCTTTATGTCATATACACACACCTATAATTTATACTAAATGTGTCCTGCTAGTGATCCTTAACTGATACAGATCCTAGATGACTGAATGGCAGAAGCCTTTATCATTAACAAATTCAAGTACATGCCACAAAAATAAACAACAAGCAACAGTTGTAGTAATAGTCATTTGATACTGCTTTCCATCATATTAGATAACAGGGATGTTTTTCACCTCTAAATGCTAAATGTATTCTGAGGAGATCTCACCTTTTCCCCTTCTTGCAGCTCCTTCTTGATTTGACAGCCTATAGCTATGGCTGTGGGGATCTTGGTTGCACTTTCTTTTCTGAAATCTTTACTTTACTCTTGCCAGGAGCTACAGAATAGAAAGAAGATTTCAGAAAGACACAGTTCCTTTCTTCACACTAACAATTCAGTCCATTTCTAGCCCAATCCATTGAGTCTTTGTCCAAAATATTCTTCTAATGCATTTGTCACCCTCCATCTGCCACAACTCTTTTCCTATACTCTGGATGCTCTCATTTCCCTGCTGGATTTCATCTAACTGCTCTATCCACTTTCTCCTCTCTTCAGTGGAGTACTCACTGCAATCTTTCTGAAACAGAAACCTTCCCAAACCTACCTAAAGATTGCTTTCCTTCCAAAACAATTTGCCCAAAGTCATAAAGTACCATGTTCTCTAGTTCACTAGTGGATTTTATTGTTTGTTCCCTCTGCACAGAACATATATTCCTATTCTTTAACTGAGAAACTACCGTCACAAGCATCACTTCCTTCTAAATCTCCAAATTTGGACTAGCTGCTCCTAGTTGCTCCTTTGGTATACCACTTTTCCTCCTTTGTGGAGTCTATACCCTGTACATAACTGCTCTTTACTGTCCATTTCCTTCTGTTGTAATGATTATTTGCATAATATCACAACACAATCATAGAAAGTACCAGTTCCTGCCTGGTATACTCAGGGCTTTCTACAAATACTAGATGAATGAATAAATAGACATAATGAAAGGAAAGTGGTAGAAAATAGAAGTTCTACCCATGAACCTTTAAAACTATTTCAAATTACCATATCCAGACTACAGGTTAGTATTTATTTCACAGAGCCAGCCAAATAGCTCAGCAAATTAAAGCACCTGCAAGGAGGCACAAGGGCCAGGGGTTCAATTCCCGGCCTGCCATGCCGGCCCTGCCCCCAGGGTGCGCTGAGACATCAATTGACACTAGGCGTGGTGGACACGCCTTTCATACCAGCTCTTGGGAGGCTGTAAACAGGCAGATCCAATCTAGTAGGGAGACCATGAACACCTTGTGGACCATTCCCTAAAATACACACACACACACACACACACACACACACACACACACACACACACAAATCACAAAGTTTGTGGTGTATTTAAAATCTATCAGCTAATGTTTGAGAGGTAGTGATATGATACTGTATCAGTCTTAATCCTTGTGGGACCTATAATCTACTAAGATGGAAAGAGGAGAAAAGCAAGGCTATGTTACATAACAAGGCATTTACAGAACAATGGAATAAATGGTACACAAGGGAAAATTTAGGGCACCACACAGACAGAAGAATCTTTTCAGATAGGCAGTGTCTAAATAGCCTTTAGTAAGGATTAGTAGTGTCAGTCTCGTAAAATTAAAATAGTACTTCAAGTACAGGAAATGGCAGAACAGTCAGAGGTGCAAGGACAGAGATGGCTGGAAAACAAAACAGAGAAGACAGATCCAAATGGTCCTTAAAAGATGCATTTCATTAAAAAGATTAAGGGGAGTATCTGAGTAATTTTAAGCAAAAGACTAATCAGATTTCCATTTGAACTGCATGTTCTGGCCACCATGAGAATGTGTCAGACTGAGAAGGCCTGGAGACCTCGTGATCAGTTAAAACTTGTTAAAATAAACTAGTGAGGAACTAATGATGGTCTAAATTAGAAAAGTATCAGTGGGGATGAAGAGGAAGAAAGTACCTTTGAAAGCTATGTGGTGGTAGGGCTGGGACTGTGAGAATTAAATAAAACCAAGCACAGCACAACACAGTACTGTCACGAACACAATGAATTAATAGATATATAGTTCTCTGAAACCAGAAATAGATGAAGTGGTAGAAATCTGACAGAAAAGATCATACATGCAGTTTTAGAGATCGCGGACTTGTAAGAGGCATCTAAATGGGAAAATTCAGTGGGTAGTTATGTGAATATGAGGGAAAATGTGGGTGGAGAGTTTTATAAGTCTGAAGTGCTTCTAGTAGAAATCTATTTAAGTCTACTTGATCTAATTAAATGCTAACATGAGGAAAGCTGTACCCCAAGCAAGTAGAACCTGTCCACTTACAGAACATTCAGCTTTTTTGGTAACAATATAATCTTATTTCATAGTTTTTACTAATATAAAAATACGTCTATGACAAAGATCCATATATCTTTGGACATTCAGTATTTCCAAGCCGTAGTCTTCCCCAGCACGAGGTTGCATGCAGTTTCACTGTTGTTCTAGTCTAGTGGTTTTCAAACTTGAGAGCTCATCAGCATCACACAGAGAACTTGTCAGATTGCTGGGCTTCATTCCCCAAATTTTTGGTTCAGTAGATCTGCAGTGGGACCCAAGAATTTATATTTATAACAAATTACCTGGTGATATTAAGAACCATGGAGCTAGTACACTTCAATACAAAATCTATTCCATTTTTGCGTATCACCCAGAGAGCTCAATGCTGGATGCCAGACCTCCAACTAACTTCTGGTTAGTTCTAATTTCTGTATCTACACAAGTGATTATAAATTTTTCAGGGATTCAGGTTTCCCCTTCTTCTATTAAACAGTGTTTATGAGATTCAAACATTGTAAGTACTGCTATCAGTACACTGTAATCACAACAGGTGTTTGGGATACAGAAATAAAGACATGTCCTTTCACATAATAAGGAAGGTCTAGAAAGGAGCTAGAAGGCAGAAAAGAAAAAATAACTAGGGCAACAATATAGGTGTATGGCATTGGAGGTTCTGAGATACATCAAATTTCAAAACTTATCTCAACAGGATAAGAATTTCAAATTATGCACACAAATGAGTATGATTACTGCTGTTTTCACCTTCTTGCAATTAATAAATTTTTCTAATTTATACGCATCAATTATGTAACTGAAGGGGGAAATTTTTTCAAAGAATACTACCTCTTAAAAACAGCATATGCTAACGAAAATCTATAAAAATACTTGCTTACACTTAACAAGTTACTTCTTACTCATTACTCAGGGGATAGAGATCTCAGAAAAAGTATGCAGGCTTGTCTCCATCTCTGCAACAATATATCCCACCATTCCCCAATGGAGTCTTTAGTTGCAGGCCATCTTTTAGTCCCCCTTTTGTGTCTTTTCTCCTGGACCTAAAATACCTATCTTTCTGCCTATTAGTCCCACTGCTCTACACTATCTACCCTTCACATTCCGATATTCTCCATGAAACCTTCAATGATCCTAGTTTCTACTGATTATTAGCATTTTTAAATCTCTGATAGCAACTATCTGTGCCACTCAAGTCCTAAAACATAGGTATTGTGATTTAAGTCATGGGAATACATCTATTTTTCCCAATTTTGCATGTAGACCAGTTAGCATAAAGTACCTTTTCTTGCACTTATTTCTCAAAGCATCTGCTACCTACAATGTGACTTTCATACCTATCTCAGTTTTTCTCAAGCAAAATTCTACAATTACTCAGGATTTGGGAAAATATAAGTAACTCTTCTACTATAATAGTATCTACAACTTTGCATCCTCCACATATTTCCATTCAGTGGTCAACAACGCAAGGCAACTTTTTTTTTTTTTTAAATGTATCTTGTACAGGGTCTCATTATGCAGCTCAGACTCGTAGTGATCCTCCTGTTTTCAGCCTTCCCAGTACTGGCATCACAGGGCTGTGCCACCATGCCCGGTCTGGGTGGTTGGCTCAGTATGCCTGGGGGCAGGGCCGGTGTGACATGCAGTACTGGGGATGAAACCCTGGCCCCTGCACTTGCCTAAGCAGGTGCTTGGTCCAGTAAGCTATCTTGCCAGCATAAGGAAACTACTTTTGGAAAGCTCTGACCATACTAGACATCAACAGAAATCCAGCACCAAACCCCTTACTCTTCACACCCATCTGCTTGGTGTTGGATTAGATGTTCTTCTTGTTTTGAGTATACAATGAAATATTTGGCTTATCTTACAGGGCCAGTGGTGCCAATTTATGTATCTTTAATTACTAGTGTCCTAACAGTTGCAGATTGTGATGGATGAACATCTCAGAGAATTAACCATAAAAGGTTCGGAGCAGCTGCTCAATAAATGTTGGCTGAACGTCCACGCTACAAACCAGTAGTTTGGTAGCTAATCAGTCTACTACCGAGATACATCACGATGACCTTGGATGGTGAGAGAAAACTTCTATCTCTTCCTCAGGTTCCTTACTGACAGTGAGAAACTGATGAAGAGAGAGGTTTCTTAGAAGTATCCTGTGTTTCAAAACTCTCATGTCTGGGGGAATCACACTTCAGAACACTTAGGAAAGACAGGAATTTTTAATGAATGCCAGAAAAGGAGACTTAACACAGTCTCTAACAGATCCACTATTTAACAATACTTATAAAAAATTCTTATCCCTTCTGTTACAGTTTAACATTTTTTTCTCCCCAGGCCTGGCCTCAGTGTTGATTAAGAACAGCTGGGCTTGCTCTCTTCCCTATATAATACACTTTTATAGACAAAAAGACTCATTATTAAATTGCTCTTCAGCCTTTGCTTTTGGAGATGAACAATTTGTTTCTCTATTATTGTGTTAGGCTTTTATTTTCCAATTTTAGCCATTTCTGTGATTTAGTCTAGTAGTCAATATAAAACAAACATTGTCCATTATACAACAAAGTTCAGTCAAGTGGTATAATTCTCCTATACTCTTATGTTTCTACATAGGCAACTATAACATAGTATAGGAAAAAGCAGATTAAAACCGTTCTTGGCTAAAGCTCTTGCTCTTCCACTTGTTATATAATATTAAAAAATTCACTGGGTTCATTTTCTTCTCCTAGAAGCTGAAAATCAACAGCTACCTCACAAAGTTGCTGATATTAAAGATAATGTTATCCAAGTGGCTTGAAAATGGTAAAGCAGGCTTATTACTACATTGTTGCTACTCTGGATAGAGATAGGCATAAAAGACTGAGTTGATTTGGGCAAATCTCATTTGAAAGACTAAAATCTTCATTACTACTCATGTTAATGCTTTACATAACCTACATCAAAAAAATTTTTTCCTGAGAACTATTATCACTAAAATACAACTGTGACCATTAAACTAGGAGT